CCAACCCTCCCCAGGCGAGTCAGGTTAGAATCATAGAATCATTAAGGTTGGAAAAGCCCTCTGAGATCATCGAGTCCAACCGTCAACCCAACCCCCCCATGCCCACTAAACCATGTCCCTAAGCGCCTCATCTACACGTCTTTTAAATACTTCCAGGGATGGGCCCTCCACCACTTCCCTGGGCAGCCTGGTCCAAGGCCTGACCACTCTTTCAGGCAAGTTTGTGCGCCTTTGGGTAGATTCAAACGACACGGGGGAAGAGAAAAGCGCTGCCCGCCTTCCTGCTCCCGTTTTTCCCTCTTGCAAGGCTGGGGCTGACCACGAGCCCCTGTGGGGCTTCCACCCTGTCGCGGTCCATTGCGAAATGCAGGTCCTTTCACGTTTCTGCGCTAGAAATCAGGGGCATGTCAGGCTTCTGCCCCGGCTCCTGCTCGCCCACCCCACCAGTGGTGCTGGATGTCCCCGTTGCCCAGGATGAGCCCCTCAGGGCCGGGTCTGGGTGGGTTGAAGCGCCCGGTCGGGGCTGTGCAAACAGGCGGGCGCCCAGCGCCCGGAGCAGCGCGATGCAGATGGGTGCAGCCTGCAGCCTCCCGGTCATCCTGCACGTGCAAACGTCTTTTGGGCTCTTTTGGGCTGAGGTGCTCGAAGGAGTTTGGAGCCGGGATGAGGAAACAGCTTTGGAAGTGAAAAGGAGCCGGGACACAGGGGGTTCGCGTTGGCTCCTGGACTGCCCACAGGTGAGCACGGCCAAATCCTGCCCCGGAGAGGAGACCCTGAACTCCCTTTCATGCTCTTCCCAAAAGCAGCCGTCTGGGTGGGTGGACGGGGGGGCTGGAGTGGGGGTCCTGGGGGTGCACCAGCAGGGTGGGGGCCCGACTTTGGGAGATGTGCTGGGTGCACCCAGCTCTGCCCTCGCTGCATCCCTCCAGCCTCGCCTGCGCTGACCATAAATGGCCCCGCTCTTTCTATTCCCCCGATGCCTCTGAGGCAGCGAACCCTGCCCTGGATGCATCCAAGAAATGGAAAAAACATCATGTTGTGGTGTCTCCACGGCTGCTGGAAAGCTTTTAACCGGAGCGAAGGGGGGGCCGCCTTGTGGCCGG